GACAACAAGCGGTCCTGTCTGGCCGGGCGAGCTTGGTTAGGCTGTGCCCAGGAGTGGGAAGGCGAGGGGAGGTGATTTCCTCTTATGCTCCCTGTCTGGGCATGGGCACTGCCACCCACCGGTGCCCAAGCCACAACCTGGGCGTCATGCTCGTCTCCCGTGCTCCTCGCCACCCATATCGGATCCATCACAAATTTCTCTGGGGTACGTCCGCTCCTCCACGCCCCGTCGTCTCTCTGCTCCAGCTGGCACAGGCCGCTGTCATCTCTGCCCCCGATGCCGCAGGAGCCGCCTGACTGGTCCCCTGCGTGTCTTTGATGATCCTCTGGAGCTTGTTCCCTACCGGAGAGCCAGGGTGATGGTCTGAAAGTGCACACCTGGTCACCACACCGTTCCCTTTCCGACCTTTTAGGAGCTGCTCGTTGCTCTTCCACGCTCTCCAACAGGGCTCGCAAGCCCCTTAGCCTGTCCTGTTTTTACTCTTAACTCACCAGTCTCTGCTGAGTCTCCAGCCATATTGGACTGTGGAGTTCCTGGGGTAGAGCAAGTTCCTAGGCTCAGGTGTCGGCTACATCATGTTCCCTCCCCCTGAGGTGCTGTCCTTTGGTTGGGAAAAATCCTCCTGGTCCTTAATGCAGTTCTCCAGGTGTGGGTTGTGTGTTTTACTGGTCCGCAGGTTGTAATCTGTGTGAGTGGAGTTTGCCTCAGTCATAGTCCTGTCCTCAGTACCTTGTGCAGCACCGGCTGTTAGTAAAGAGTATGTTAGTTACATATGTAAATGAAGCATGGCAGCTCCTTGAGCTCCCCCAGAAGAACAAGTAGACCCAGGTACCAAATGCCTGCACTTCCAGAATCTGTTCTCAACCCCCAGCCCCTGTAGAGGTTGCTTTGGCCTAGGAGCTTGGTTATTTTCTCATCCTCAGCTCAGGCCCATGGAAGTTTCAAACGGGGAAGTACCGATCAGAGCTTTTCTTTGGCATTGACTCGGGGTTCAGGATGTCTGGATGTTGGTGAGTGTGGCTGCTCTGAGTTTGGATTCTTAACCAAGGGCCTTCGGTGTGAGGGAAAGGCTCTTAACAGCTGCTGTGGGCTTGATGGGAGGAAGGCTGGCTCCAAACTCTTCCGTGCTGGTAGGACAAACTACATAATGAGAGGGGTGGGTGGGCCAGGCCACACCACTGGTGGGAAGGCTCCAGAGGGAAGTTGTTTTTCCAGCTTAGGCCAGATCTTCTGTGATAGGGAACGACATACCTAAGGCCCAGACCCACTGCTCGGATTCAGACGTGAAGGCCTGCTACCTGTAGGTCAGCTCAGCACTTGGTGATACATTTAGTAGGGAATAGAAGAGACAGAAAAGATGGGTTCCCAGCCCTCAGAGCTGGGGGAGAAAAGAAAAACAAAAGGAGAACAATATGTGACCGTATGTTAAGGCCAGATGAGTGTGAGAAGCTGCAGACTTGAGGTCAGAGGAGGGGACAATGGATCTGGACCTGGAAGAATCCAGAGATGGTATTTTGAATTGGGCCTGGAAGGAAGAGGGAGGACAGACAGATGGAACCAGCGGGAGCAGTGCTCTGGGACGGGGAGAGAACGCAGCCAGGGGAACTCTGACAGTCCCAGCACTGCGGGATCTCACGACTGCGGATGGCAGGGTGCTTCGCTCCCAGGCCTGCGGCTTCTCCTTGTGAAGGATGCCTCCCAGCATGGGTTGTACTCTGAAGTCTCTTTCAGAAATCTCTCTTCCTTTGGGTTTTTCTCCAACCTGGCCTTTACGTTTTCTCAAAAAAACCCAGCGAGGCCAGGAACTCCCAGGGTTTATCTGCCCGGCTGTTTGCTCATGGCCTTGGACAAAGTGGTTGGAGTGTGGGTGATGCAACTTGTTCATGGGGCGGAAGGGAGTTGCTTATGTTTCTTTTCGAATGTGCCAGTTTAAAGTGTTAGGTGGCGGTCAGATTCCCTGCTTTCATTACCACCTTCGGAGGGAGAGTTTCTCCTTTGTGTTCATAGCTTTGGTTTTTGTTGTTGTGATCTAATACAGGCATCCCGCGGAGGTATTACAGGCTCCGTTCCTGGCCACCACAGTAAAGCGAATTTCACAATAAAGTGAGTCACGTGAAGTTTTTGGTTTCTCAGTGCATATAAAAGTTATGTAAAAGCCCTGGCCAGGTAGCTCAGCAGCACAACGAAGTAGTTCGAAACCTGCAACAGCACACCACAACGGGACATGCTCAGTATTAATGGTTCTTGGCCGTTATTCTGCCTCCCTTGAGGAAGGGATCATTTGGACCCATAGTTACTATACTACTAATCACTTTTTGGTGTTCTTCAAAGAGGACCCCCCCGCCAATTTGATATACTGAGTTTCCAACCCCATAGTTATAGGAAATGGTGCCATGGGTTTAGTGACCATTTAGCTCAACTGTCTGATAGATATCTAAAAAAACAAAGTAGTTTTATGTTCAGTTACATTGACATCTGGCAGCATGTTCGTAAAGTGGGACTCCCTTTCCCCGCGCCCCCAGGGACCATGGCACACAGACTGAGGATTGTCAACCTCTGTGCCTGGTTCTGTGCTTGATGCTAGGAATGTAGATGCAGTCCCCACCCTCACAAAGCCCAGTCCAGCAAAGGGCACCGACAGTAATCAGGCCTTGTTCAAGACCACGTTCACAGCTGTTGCCTGAAGGGACACACTCAGGAGCATATGGGAAGAGCACCGAAGCCAGGCTTGAGATTGAAGACGGCTTGCTGGAGAAAGAGGCCTTCAAGGTGTAGGAGTCTGAAAGGCTTGGGAGGACCTACCTGGCTTCCCACTCTGATCCCTCCTGTCCAGAACTCTAACAAACTGTTCTGTTCTGTTCCGGCCGGTGCAGTCACTGCTGAGAGTAACTCGAAACCTTGTTTTCTGGTATCAGGTACAGTGGCAGTGGCCTTATCAGAGTCTGGACACCTTTCTTTGGTAAAATTGGAAATGTGGTTTCTGTTTCTGAATTATTTTTTTAAAAAAATATATATTTTATTTATTTTTTACAGAGAAGAAGGGAGAGGGATAGAGAGTTAGAAACATCAATGAGAGAAAAACATCGATCAGCTGCCTCCTGCACACTCCCTACTGGGGATGTGCCCACAACCAAGGTACATGCCCTTGACCGGAATCGAACCTGGGACCTTTCAGCCTGCAGGCCAACGCTCTATCCACTGAGCCAAACTGGTTAGGGTTGAATTATTTTCTAGAAATGAGAACTGGAAGCCCCTTTTTCATTCCAGCCATATAACATTGGAACAAAATTATGGGATGAATTATATTAAATACATCTTTGTAAATAAAAAGCACATTTATAGTAGAAATTTTAGAAGCAATAGAAAAAGTAAAAATAAAAATCACTCCTAATCTCATGACTCAGAAGATAGTCTTTATTTTTAGTTGTTGTTCTCTGTGTGAAATATACATACATTTAAATATATATATATTTATATTGATTTCAGAGAGGAAGAGGAGAGATAGAAACATCAATGATGAGAGAGAACCATCAACTGGCTGCCTCCTGCTCACCCACTATGATCCAGCCTGCAGTCTGGGCATATGCCCTGACGGGGAATTGAACTGTGACCTCCTGGTTCATAGGTTGATACTCAACCACTGAGCAACACCAGCTGGGCTACATACATTCTTTTTTACAAAAGTGAATTTTTCTTTACAGACTTTTGCAGCCTGTTTTTTGTTTGATATATATTGAACATCTTTTCCAATTATTGACATACTGCATTATGATATCCCTCCTTAGTAATAAGACTAGATGCTGCTTTTTCACCCTCTAAGTCAGTGGTTCTCAACCTTCCTAATGCCGCGACCCTTTAATACAGTTCCTCATGTTGTGGTGACCCCCAACCATAAAATTATTTTCGTTGCTACTTCATAACTGTAATTTTGCTACTGTAATGAATCGTAATGTAAGTATCCGATATGCAGGATGTATTTTCATTGTTCGCGACCCACAGGTTGAGAACCGCTGCTCTAAGTGATACATCCCACTGACTATTGTCCCCTTAGGGAGGGAGCCATGGGAGGTTATGCTGCAGATAGGCAACATAGGTTTGGAAAATTTTCCTAAATGTAGGGGTGGCATTTTCCAGGGTCCTTCCTTTTAGGATGGGTGAGGGGGTTGCAACATGTCTACTTCCCAGCCCAGGTACAGGGAGTAGAGATGGCTGAGTTTCGGAGCTGAGCTCGGTGTGTAGCATGCGGAAGGGTATGACCAGTACTTATGCTTTACCTTTACTGCTATAGGTTTGAGACTGTGGCTGCAGTTGGCCCCTTAGGAATTACTGGCCCTGGTTATCCAGCAGAATCTGCACTGCCTTTTAGGAAGTGAATGTGTTCGTCGGGGCTTTCTTTGTATTGGTGTGCAGGTCTCCTGGCTGTCCTTCCCCTTCCTGTTTGAGGTCAGTCCATAAGCCCCAGGAAGGACCAGGACTTGCAGTTTAACAGTAAAGCCCTGCCTGAGCCTTGGTGGGGAATGTTGATGGGAACAAAGCACGCCCGACCTCGGGAGCTTGCTCATAGCTGACTGCCTTACTGTTGTTGACCACAATCCCAGGTCTAGCCAACGGGAGAACTTGATGGAATCCGAATTTCTGTGTACCCCTCCTTTCCACAGATCTTTCACGTGGTTCAATTACTTGCCTCTGTCACAGTGCTGAAAGTGGACGAGGCAGGGGTTAATGTCCTCTTCTCTGCGCTGGCCTTGAACTGACCCACCTCATCGCTTCCCTCGCTACCTTTGCTCCACTAAATACCTTCCCTACTGTGTGCCAGCGGAGCCATTCTGAAAGCAAGCTCGGATCTCATCTCCCACTCAGGAATCCCCAGGAACTTCAGTCCCCTTGGCTGACCTGCCAAGTCATGTCCAGTACTGCCTGGTCCACCTTTGCAGCCTATTGTTCCTACTTCACACTCTCTGGGCTCCAGACAAACTAAACTACTTGGAGTTTCTTTCCCACTTCGCTGCACCTGCACCTCTGCTCCTGCCTTTCCCTTCGTCCTTCAGTCCCTGCAGGTCCACAGCACACTCCTCCATCTAGGCCCAGCTGAAGTCCCCGTGCTGTCAGCACTCTGATTTTCCCTCACCCAGAGGAATTTTATTTCTGTGAACTCTCAGGGGTTATCTGTCTTAGGACTCCCCACTTTCTGCCTGTGTTCGCCCTCTCGGTAGGAAGTACTGCTCTCACCGGACTGTAAGTGCTTGTAGGCAGGAATGATCTTCAAACCCATTGAAGCTCTCAGTGAGCTGCTTGGCCTTCTGGAGGTGGTTCAGGAAGGTCATGGACGTGCCGTTTGAGTGATGGGGACCTAGAGTCTAGTGGTCTAGTGGCAGAGCTGGCCTTGGAGCCAGTTTAACATATTCTCTTCCCCAACTTTGCTCCTTTATCAGGTTTCTCCGGAGCACACTGTTTTGAGTGTTGAAAGAACTTGAGCTCTGGTGTTCTCACTTTGATCTTCTGTGTTCCCCACCTCCCAGGTGCCAGCGACCATGAGATCTCTACAGCTGCTCAGAACCCCCTTCCTGTGCGGCCTGCTCTGGGCCTGTTGTGCCTCAGGCACCAGGGCGGAGCAGCCTGGGGCTGGTTCTTCCCATCACGGCAGCATGGGGCTGGATAAGCACACAGTGCACGACCAAGAGTACGTATTCAGCCAGCGCTGTGGCCGGGGTCCCCCTTCCTCTCGGCTGCAGCCGGCTGCGACGGCACACTCAGTCCTCTTCCTTCTGCTCACATTTTTCAAGGACGCGGTGGATTCCTTATATCCACCTGTGAGTCAGGTATTCCTTTTCTCGTCATCGTATCACCAGTGGAGGATCTTGAGGCCCAAATGAGATAAATGACTTGCCTGAACTCATTCTGTCTCTTACCACACACACACACACACACACACACACACACACACACACACACGCGCGCGCGCGCAGTAGTGGGATGGGAATCCAGAATAGAGCTAAGGTTTCTTGACTGTGACAAGACCATTTTCTTTTTTTATTGGCACAAACATTGAGTCATTTGTTGTAATTTTTGTTTTGGGCCAGTTAGCCTTACACCTTATACTCTGTTATCCTTGAATTGCTTTAAAAAGAAAAGTTTTTTTAATTGATAGCCTCAAAAAATGTTATAGCAACATTCTAGTAATAAAGAGGAAAAATCACTCATAACCTTGCCAGCATAATAAATGCAGCGTTTTATTTTATTCCTGCTCCCTTCACGGCCTGGCCTATATCTGCCACCCTTGAGTGTGGTCTGCCCCTGTTTCTCAATGGATGAGTTTCAAGGTTTGAACTTTTAAGAGTCCTTAAGGTTTTGGCATGATCCCACTGTCCCTGCCAAGTGGTCTGAATCTAACTGTTGGTTTCTAGGCATATCATGGAACATCTAGAAGGTGTCATCAACAAACCCGAGGCGGAGATGTCTCCACAAGAACTGCAGCTCCATTATTTCAAAATGCATGATTACGACGGCAATAATTTGCTTGACGGCCTAGAACTCTCCACAGCCATCACTCATGTCCATAAGGAGGTAGGTCAGGCAGTGGTGCACTGGGCAGCCTTGCGGAAAGGCCTCCCTTTGGTACTTCAGCACCCCGTCTTGATGGCCTGTGCTGCCCAGTGCAGTAGTATTGTTGCTTCTCTTAGTTCTGCTTGCCACTCTGTTCTGTCTCCTTCTATTCAGTGGTCCTTCTTGCAGAGGGTGACCTGCTACAGCTGAAGCCCCAGGGCCTTGTGTCTTTAACAAGACCTGCAGGCATTTCTGCTGCATACCAGAGTTGAAAACCAGCACCCAAAAGGCAGACCATGTTCAAGATGCAGAGCAGGGAAGATGTCATTTTATTTGAGAAGAATGGGGAACCAGGGAACCGAGGGACCGAGGGGCTCGGCAGCAATGGAGGGTTTGTACAGTCTGCGAACAAAGCAGTTTGCAAAGCACTTTCAAGTAGGTTAGAGATCTCACCCGATCTTTGCAACAGCCTTTGAGAAGGCAGGGGCTGGCATTGTTACTACCTGATTGTAGAGGGGAGGAAATGGAAATTGAGATCTTTTGTCTTCAGGTCTAATGCCTGTTCTGCTCTGCACATTGCAGTGTAGAGAGAGGGGGGAGGCAACGTTGGTGAGGTGGCTGTAATCACATGGGCGCCAGGAGAGCAGGTTTGGGTTGACTTTGAAGGCCGTGGGGAGCGCTGATAGCTCCATACAGGAGATGGCGTGACTCGAGCAGTGTTTTGGGAACATCCTTTGCTGTGGGAGGCTGACTGTGAGGCATGAGGAGAGTCTGGTCTGAGGAAGAAGAATGGTTCAGAGTCCTGGCAGGCGAGGGTGGTGGTGGCAATAGGAGAGGAAAGGTAGATATGGAAGAGGTGCCAAAGGAAGAATTGTCACAGGATGTGAACAGCGAGAGCTTAGCACTCGGCACAGTGAGCCTCTGGAGCAGGAGAAATACCTTCCCTCAAAGACCCTAACAGGGTCTGCTCTGGTCAGCAGGCCTTCTTCCTCTTGTTCTCACCCCAGGGTCTAGTCCAGGTGGACCGTTTCTTACTGTGTCAGGGCAGATGGTGCCCAGAGCTGGTCCTCGGGAGGGCCTGGGCTGTAAGCTTTTCTCTAGGATGGCTTTGTGGGTCCTGGAATCTGTGAAATGCATCATTCTTTTTAAAAAAATCTTTATTGTTGAAAGTATTATATATGCCCTCCCACACCATTGAACTCTTCTAGCCCACCCCCACTCCCTGCTGAAACACATAATTCTGTGTAAACCATGTCTAGCTTTCTACAGTGAACATGGATGACTCTTGTAATTAGAAAAGGATGAGAAGTAATTTTTAAAATAAATAAGTAAGGGCCTACTTTGTTTATATCTTCTAACTGGCAAATATAATTTCTAAATTGGATTGTTATGAATTGACTGTATCTGGTACATGGTTTGTGGATTCCTAGAAAGTAGCCACGTCCTACATTGAAGTCTTCAGACATGTACGAGCATGGACATTTTGGAAATTGGCTAAGTACCTCCAGTAAAATGTGCCAACTCATTGTCTCATTTAAATTTTGTAGGGAGGGACTGAACAGGAACCACCGATGAGCGAAGAGGAACTGATTAACTTAATAGATGGTGTTTTAAGAGACGATGACAAGAACAATGATGGCTACATCGACTATGCTGAATTTGCAAAATCACTCCAGTAGATATTATTTGACCATCTCCTAGTTATTATGCAAATGTGACCCATTATAATGTGATTGAACACTTTCAGTAATGCAGAATAATTCATTTCCAATTCCTGAAAAAAAAGTATTTTGAAAAACCTCTAGAGCAAGTGACACTGGTGTGAGAAAGAGAAGTCAAGAGCAATGGGACATGTTGTCCCCAAGTACTGTTAAATCTGTTGGACAAGGGCTCGATTGAAGAGTCTTTGTAAGAATATTGGATAATTGGAGCTGAGGACTCAGGAACAGGACTGTAGAATACTGCTGTTCTCTTGGTTTTAATTCATGCTGCCTGAAAACTAAGACGAGCTTTGCCAAGTGGACACACTTTTTAGTAACAGTGAAGGAATGGAATCAATGCCAAATGTTCCCCCTTGTGTGTGCTGTCTCTTCAGGAAAATGGTCAGTATTCTGTAAAGTTCCCTGGCTTAAATGATTACTTGCTTTGGGCAAGTGAGTATTGATTAAGCTATCAAAGCCACAGCCTCACGTGAATGTCAGATACTGAGTTCAGCTAGCCAGAGTCTGTATCTTCTGGCACTTGGATATGATACACCACTGACCTAAGAGATTAACCTTTTTCAGTTTTTCAATATTTTATGAAACTACTGCCATATCCTTATACTTTATTTCTCTTATGTCTTCTTCAACCTGGGAGAGACCTTGAATTTAAAACTGTTCTCTAATCAATAGCACATGTTTTAGCTTTCTTAATATTTGTATTTAACTCTTGTTTCTAGAGTTTCGCTTTTGCAGTTTAGAAACGTAGGCATGCAAGGGTTTTCCCTTCTGCCTGATACAGCGGGAGTAAAACTACTAGCTGCCGCAGCCAAGTGCAAGTGAAAAGTTCGTTCACCGGGCACAGTGATTAACCTGATACAAGTTGTATGTAGAAGGACTATTGTTTAAATGACCTCTTCTAGCCTAAATATGTGAATTCTTTGAGATCAGGAAAGATTGGAAAGAGAAGCCTAAAAACTCAACAGTGTGAGTCCCAGTAATAGCTGAAAGTGAGAAGCAGCAGCAAATTGTGATTTGGTTTATTGGATGTAATGGACATACTGTGATAGAAATCATAAAATGATGATTGAATGGGGGAAAACTGCATAAAATTTACTGTAAGATGTATAGAGACTTATTTTCTTTATTGAAGTATTCTTATAAGAAAACATGTATTTGTAAAAATGGTTTCCTGTGTCACGTATTTGTGCAATCAGAGCTGAATTATAAACTATTCTTGTAAAATCTAGTTATTTTGGAAGATTTATATAATGAATTCTGGATATATGACCAATAAAACTGATGAAACAAAATAAAGGGCCGTTGATTTTGTCTAATAGGCTTCTTCGCCCATCACCTGAAGGCGTTGTTTACCTGATGCAGATGTTTATGTGTGCCTGCTCCGTGCAGCCTGTGACCCTCCCTGCCTCTACCGCCCCTTTTGCAGGGGTCATTCCCAGTATTCAGTCACTTTCCTCTTTTAGACATTTTTTTCTTCTGAATGAAATCACTTTTTGGACCTTTTTTCCTGGCCAAGTTCAGATTATGACAACATTTTCTGGCTTAGGAAAACACAGTGTTTTCTCCTTGAGTCTGGTGACTGTTCTTTCTTTGCTGGAAAATTTAATTAGATAGCATTATTGCAAGCCTCCCAGGCCCAAGCAAAAAGTACAGTCCTCAGGCTTTTTGGAAATAACATTTTGTTCTGCCAGTTGAAAGCAAGGAAGGAAGTTGCCATTGCCTCCCCCCTCCCAGGATCTTTGGATCTCGCACTGGCCCTTCTTCATCCAGAGCTGCCCTTCTGGACGGATCTAGTGAGTGGGCTTATGGTTGGAGGAACTTCATACTGTTGGCAGCTAGGAAGGGGGTCAGTGAGGCAGCTGGGAGGAGGAGAAGCAGATCCTTAGAAGGTAGAGTCATCCCGTTAAACAGGCTGGACACCTTCCCCCTGCAGAGCTGGCTGCCATTGGAAATGATTCCCCGCTGGCCTTTGTGGTCCTGTTAGTCTGCCTTTCCTTAAAGAAAGTCTCCCTTGTGGGCGAGGGGCCTGTGACCTTAGGGACACAGCACGATTAGCCTTTCCCCCGAAACCCCTTTACCCCCCCTCCCATCCCCTCTGTGGGGCCTCGGCCTTCGCGTAGCTCACCTCAAGGGTTTTTCAGAATGTATCAGAAACGCCGCTGTACTCAGTGTCCTTACCGCAAAGAGTCGGCCTTATATGAGCACAAGCTTTGGACTTGGGCAGACTGAGTTGAAACCCTAGGCCTGCTACTCTGTGAACTTTAGTTTCTCATGTAAAAGATAACTTTAATAATACACCTACAGAGTGGCTACGAGGATTAACAAAAGGAAGAAAAATATATAAAGCATCTAGCAATTGCCTGGCAGAGTAGGTGCTAAACACACACTTACCTATTCTCAGCCTTGCTGAGGAGCTGGTCCCGCCCTCAATGAGCTGGAAGAGCAACAAAGAAATTGATGACTCCTCAGGGGCATGGATCTAATAAATATCCATTGTTTGTCGTATAACCTCCCTGGTCTAGTTTCTGGATTTCAATATCTTATGCAGAAGAGAAAAAAGAAAAGCTTCTTTTCTTTTATAAAGTCACATGCCAGACTTACCCTCAAGGTTCTGAGGGGAACACAAATATTCTTGCCCAATAAAAACATGCTAAATCACATTTGACCTCAAGAGGAAATTCATTATCTCAAGAACCTAACCAAATATCCATCAGGAAATTAGTAGCAGGAGCCAGAATGTTATGTCTGAACTTCTTGGGTGTTAAATAATTATAGGACTTCTGCTTCTGGCAAGATGGACTAGATGTACTTTCCCCCATCCTCTAAGCACAACAAAACCATGGGGCATTATATATAAAACAAACATAAGAAGACTGAAAGGTGGAGAGAAGTCGGACTGGCTAGGCACCTTGGGACCTAAGTAACAATATGGAGGTAAGTTTCCTGTCTTTTATTTTTTCTTCTCTCATATATTCTCAGACTTGGAGCTAAGGAAGCCGGCAACCCAGAAATGCCAAAAGGAGCAGACATTAAAAAAGAAAGAAAGAAAGAAAACCTGCTTTCTCTAGCCAAAGGATGAAGAAAAGGCCAGCCCACAAGGCAGAAAACTTTTAGACAATAACTTCTCTGCTCCAGCCAAACCCTGCAGGGAAATCTTGCCCTGCCAACAAAGGCTGACTGGAGAGCCTGGACGTCCACCCTTGCCAAGCAGTCATGAGGCACCCCTCCGCCTTCCTGTATTTGAAGTGATGCCAGAGGAGGCCCAGTAGGGAGCTGGGACTTGCATGCTCCTCATGCTCCGGGCATTCACAAGCCCCCTGTCTCCTGCCCACAGGGTCAGTGGAGAACACACAGGGGACCTGGACCTGGGCTCCTCCCTCCTCCCCCCCTGGGTGTTCAGAGGAGGCAAGTGGAGGGTCAGGACCTTCACCACTGTCCAGGGATAACAGGCCCACCTTCCACTGCCGTGTCAGTGGAGGCCATGGCAGGGGTTGGGGGTGTGGGGCAGCGTGCAAACTCCCACCCCTGCCCAGCAATAATGAGGAGCTCCTGGCCTTAGGTGTCAATGGAGGCCAAGTAGAGAGTCTGGACATCTCCCTCCACCTGTCAGTACTGAGGCATCACCCTGCCAGAGAGATGTCAGAAAACCAGTTAAAACAGAAGTTTAAATAAGATCCAGTCTCATTACACAAAACAAACATGTCCAGATTTCAGTAAAAAATCACTCATCATACCAAGAAACAGGGCATCTCAGACTGAAGGGGAAAAAAAGATGCCAACACTGAGGTAACAGATGTTAGAATTGTTGGACAAAGGTTTTAAAACAGCCATGATAAAAAAAAAAATACTTTAACAATTATGATCATGCATCAAACAGAGAAAAAACCACAACCAAGTCTCAGCAAAGAAATAGAAAATATAAAGAACAACCAAATAGAAATTTGAGAACTGAAAAATATAACCAAATAAAATAACCAAAAGAAAAACGTTACTGGATAGGCTCAGTGGAGTGGAGCGGGCAGAGGAAAGAATCAGCGAACTGGAAGATAAAACAATGCTGCAATCTGACCAACAGAGAGAAGATGAACTAAAAATAAATGTGCAGCGCCTCTGGGTCCTGTGGGACTGGAACGAAAGATCTGATATTCTTCCCGCCATCCATCAGAGTCCCAGGAGGGGAGGAAAAGGAGGCAGGAGCTGAGCAGGGATTCAAAGACCTACAGGTTCAAGAAGCTGAGCAAACTCCAACGAGAATAAGCCCAAAGAAATCAACCCCAAGACTCATCACCTTCTGAGAATTACAGACACAAAAAATTTGAAAGTAGTGGGAGTGAAACAATACCTTACCTATAAGAGAAATATGGTTATTTTATGTGGTTATATTTTTCAGTTCATCAGAAACCATGGAGGCCAGAAAGAGGTGGCACAACAACTTCTAAGTGCTGAAAAAAAAAAAAAAAAAAGAATCCTCAATCCAGAATCATGTAGTGAAAATATCCTTTGGGAATGATGGAGAAATCAAGATTTTCTTAGACAAAGGAAAATGAAGAGAATTTCTCACCGGCAGACCAACCCTAAAATAATGGCCAAAGGAAGTTCTTAAACAATAAAAGGACAATATATAATGAGATATTACTCAACCATAAGAAGAATGAAATCCTGTCATTATGAAAACATGGATGGAGAGTATTGTGCTAAGTGAAATAAGTCAGACAGAGCAAGACAAATGCCAGATGATTTCACTTACATGTAGAATCTGAAACAAACAAACAAAACAAAATAGAAACAAACTCATAGATACAGAGAACAATTCATGGTTGCCAGAGGGAAAGGGAGTTGGGGGGAGGGAGGAGATGGGGGAAAAGAGGAAGGGAATTAAGAAGTACAAACTGCCCTGACTGGTTTGGCTCAGTGGATAGAGCGTCGCCTGCGGACTGAAGGGTCCCAAGTTTGATTCCGGTCAAGGGCATGTACCTTGGTTGTGGGCACATCCCCAGTAGGAGGTGTGCAGGAGGCAGCTGATCAATGTTTCTCTCTCATCAATGTTTCTAACTATCTCCCTTCCTCTCTGTAAAAAATCAATAATAATAATAATAATAAAAAACGGCCAGTTGTAAAATAAGTCATGGGATGTAATATACAGCATAGGGAATATAGAGTAATAACATTATAATGAATAACTAGACTTATTCATAAGGTATACAAATGTTGAAACTAATACAATATGTCAGCTATAATGAGAATAAATTTTAAAAAGAAAAATAGTTAAATACAATAGACCTTCCTTCTCTCATATGTTTAATATTTGAAGTAAAAATTATAATATGGTCTGATGTGATTCTAAATATAAGTAGAGGAAATATTTAAGACAATGATGTTGCCAATGGGGGAGGATAAAATCATGTAAAGAAAAGTAAGTTTTTTTATACTTAAGATGATGAATGTGAAATGGTACAGGTACCCTGGAAAATAATTTGGCAGTTTCATAAAAAACTAAGCATGCGACTACCATGGGATCAGCAACTGAATTCTTGGGCATTTATATTGGCACAAAAACCTGCACATGAATATTTAGAGCAGCTTTATTTGTAATAGCCCCAAACTGGAAACAACCCCGATGTCCTTCAACAGGCAAACAGTGAAACAAGCCCTGGCACGTCCATTCCACGGGACACTATTCAGCAGCCCAAAGGGACAAACGATCGATATGGAGAGCAACCTGGATGGATCTCCAGAGCATTATGCTGAGGAGAGGAAAAGCCATTTCCAAAGGGTGACACTATAACTCCATGTACACAGGGCTCCTGAAGTGACAACATTATAGAAATGGAGACCAGATTTGTGGGTGGGAGCAGGAGAGAAGTGGGCGTGGCTATTAAAGGGCAGCAGGGGGGATCCTTGCGGAGATGGAAATGTTCTCTGTCTTGACTGTATCAGTGTTAATATCCTGGGTGGCTGTTGTATTATAGTTTTAGAAGATGCTACCCTTGGGGAACTGGGCCTAGGGTACACAGGATCTCCCTATATTTCTTACAACTGAATGTGCATGGATCTAACATTTATTTCAAACTAAAATGTTTATTCAGACAGGATGACGGATGATTACTGGAACTAGTGGGGTGATCACCTGGTAAGGTCTAAAAATGTCGAGTCATCTGAAGTTAATATAACTAATATAATATTGTATACTCAAATAAAAAAATAATTAAAAGTTTAATTTAAAAACCAGTTTTGAAAGACAAAGTCTTTTCAATAACACCATGGCAATTTAACCTTGGGACAGAGTGGGAAG